CCGAAACCTTGCACATATCGTTAATGTATAGTATGAATAATTTAGGTCCCAAAACTGAACCTTGAGGCACTCCACATACAATGTCCAGATCACTCGACTGATATTCACCCAACTTCACAAATTGCCGCCTCTGTGTCAAATAACTACTAATCCAATTCAGAGCCACTCCTCTGATCCCATATTTTTCTAACTTGCACATTAATAATTCATGATTGATTGTGTCAAATGCCTTTTTTTAGGTCAATAAATATTCATATCGTGTATTTCTTCTCATCCATAGCACTTGTAATGCCCTCCATCAGGTCAGTAATGGCCAAAGATGTCGACCGGTTCGACCTAAAACCATACTGACAATCAGAGAGGATTTTATGTTTATCAATAAATGTATCTAATCTGTTTTTAAAGAGTTTTTCCAGAATTTTTGAAAATTGTGACAACAGAGAAACCGGTCTATAATTTGTGAAGTTGTGCTTATCACCAGATTTATACAGAGGGATAACCTTTGCAATTTTCATATTATTAGGGAACTGCCCAAGACGAAATGACATGTTAAAAATATGGGTTAATGGTTTGCATATCTCCTCAATTACCCATTTAACTGTTGTCATGGTGATACCATCACTATCACTAGATGTTTTGTTACCACATTTATTCACTATCTCTATAATTTCCTTTTCAACTTGCACATTAATAATTCATGATTGATTGTGTCAAATGCATCAAGTGATGGTATGCAGGCATTTGTGTGGTTGTGACACCAGAACGTTTATTGCGTCAGCATGTTCGTAAAGATTTTCCTGCCTTTGTGTGACTGTTGAACCAGATAACTAGTATCCTGTATTAACTGGTATCTTGTTGCCCATCTGTTTGAGCATTTGTTCCTGCAAATGTATGTGTGTGTATAAGAGGAGAGACAGCACTCTGTTCAGAGAACAGGACACACCACTGTGTGACTGCAGTGTCACTACTACTATGGAGAGAGGGATGTTGGCGTGGGACGATTGATCTGTGCCAATGCCTCAGGAGTATAGCAAGGATTTACAATTACTTTTTGCCTACAAAGGACTTAAAATGAATTTTTGCCTGA